AGTTAGAAATATTGTAAGTTGAAAATGCATTTAACCTACTGAACATTACAGTTTAGCCTTAACTATCTTAAATATGCTTAGAACACTTATATTAGCCTATAGTTGGCCAAATCATTCAACACAAAGTCTACTTTATAATAAAGGATTGAATATCTCATGTGATTTATTGAATACTGTTCTGAAAGTGAAAAAAAGGAACGAAGTATGGTTCTACTGATTGTGTACTGCTTTCAGACCACTGTAAAATTGAGAAATCATAAATCAAACTGTCTGTAAGTGGGGGATCATCTATATGCCTATACTATACTATTTTTACTTGAAGAGTTCTTTCACTGAATTCTGTTCTTCCCAGCATCTTCAGATATAACTTTATTGTTTAGAGTAGAAATTTGGTAGTAAGGAATAACACTGTTATTACTTATTCAGCTATCTTATGTTTCAGAATAAGGAAGAATTAAACCCATTTATTTATTTGTAATAAGATCTCCCTATGAATTTTTTCCATATTATAATAGCAATGCATGCTTATTACCAAAGAAGTATCTGACCAAAAAAATAGATATAGACAACTCAGACTTCACCAGAAAATTACTGTTAAGTAGTTTGTGTATAGTTTTTAAGGTCTTTGGGAGGGCAGGGGCATAGTACTGGTAATATGTATGTATAAATATCCATACATTGGCTCATGCCTATAATTCCAGCACTTTGGGAGGCTGAGGCAGGTGGATCACACGGTCAGGAAATCAAGACCATCCTGGCTAACATGGTGAAACCCTGTCTCTACTAAAAATACAAAAAATTAGCCAAGGGTGGTAGCATGTGCCTGTAGTCCCAGCCGCTCGGGAGGCTAAGGCAGCAGCATCGCTTGAACCCAGGAGGTGGAGGTTGCAGTGAGATGAAATCACACCCACTGCATTCCAGCCTGGGCGACAGAGAGACTCTGTCTCAATAAAGAAAAAAAAATTCATAGATTGACTATTTTTGTTCAAGTTTAAAATATATATATATATATAACTAATATCTTGTGCTTTCCTTTGAGATATTTGCCTACTTCAGTGCTTTGCCCAGGGCAAAATTGTTTTATGTTCCACCTCCCTCCACACCCAAATAAAGAAGATTTAAATGAGTACAGAGGGGCGTTTCAAAGGGAAAACTTGTCTCAAGAGGGCAGTCTATAGTTCCACTCATTGATTTGGTATTAGTATGTAAATAATATTCCAATGTTTCCGTAAGTTTTCCTTGATAAATATTAGCTCAAGATTGTAGCACATATACTTATGTTGTAGCTTTATCCAGAGTAAGAAATGCAGCTCTTGCTGGAATTGAGTAGGAGCCCAGTTAATACAAGCTTTAGAAAACTGGAGAATAGGAAGTGGGTAAGGGAGAAAATGAGAAAGAAATCAACTCTTAGTTGAAGAAACATGGTAACTCCTATTTTTTCTTCAAATTGTACTGTTGCTTAATTTTTTTATATCAAGTATCATTATTACCTATAGTTTCATTATTGGTGAAATTGCATTTGAATGCTCATTAATGTATTGACTTTGTTCTGATTGCTCTGTTTTTCTGTATATCTAGGCAGATATTTTAAATTTCAGAAATTGTGCTATAAATTTTTTTTTTCAGTTTCTGAGCCATGGTTTTATTTAATAAAAGGTTTATATAAGATTTCCTTATAGAGAGGAAAAATATAATGTAATTATATTTGATGAGAGGCTTAGGTTAGATTCATTCTTTCAGTCAGCAGGCATTTACTGTGCATCTATCCTGTGCCAAGCCTTTTAAATTCTGGTAAAATATGTTCTCTTTCTGCCTTCATGGAGCCTGTAGTCCTATGATAAGGATTAGAAGGATTAGAAGGGGCATAACACTACTTTACTTCTGTAAAATTAGAAAAACAAGTTTTCATATCTTGATGAGAGATACCAATTCCTCTGCTTGTTCTTCCAAACCATTATAAAACTATTTCTGGTTAGATTTGAAAAGCTGAGGTGGGCTTAGAGATATGGCTAAACCTCAGGGTAGGACTGGAATGTGCTGTCCCAGGTTTGATCTGTTAAGCTGTAAGAGAGCAGTTTAAGATTTACATTAAAATTTTGGAGCTCCATTAGTTTTTCACTGATACTTATTTTAGACAATCTGACCTTCTTGTTTTTTTGGTGTTTATACCAAATATTCCTTTCTGTATTGCCTCTTTTTGCAGCCCTATACTATAAATGAAGAGAAAAAAACAAGTGTGTGTTAGAATTTGAAGTGGCAGCATGTTTGTTAGTTTTAATGTTTAATTAACTATACATGTGGTAGGAGTTATAAAATATGTTAGAAAATAGTGATGAGTGTGAGTTTAAATTTTGATTTGTCTTTTTTATTAGAAAATTAATGGGCAGAAAAATAACACTACTTTTATATTTATATAGTTCCTATTACCTGCATGTTCATTTCATGTTCAATAATGCTTTTTAGTCATTAATAAATATTTGAAATTATCCAAACAGACCATTATAAACCTGCAATTTCCCATCGAGATTTAAACAGCAGAAATGTTCTAGTGAAAAATGATGGAACCTGTGTTATTAGTGACTTTGGATTGTCCATGAGGCTAACTGGAAATAGACTAGTGCGCCCAGGGGAAGAAGATAATGCAGCCATAAGTGAGGTAAGCGTATACAAAAGGTATCACACTGATGTACCTTGAAATAATAATGAATTTAATTAAAACATCTACCGGCTAGGCATGGTGGCTCACGCCTGTAATCCCAGCACTTTGGGAGGCCCAGGTGGGTGGATCACCTGAGATCAGGAGTTCAAGACTAGCCTGACCAACATGGTAAAACCCCATCTCTACCAAAAATACAAAACTTAGCTGGGCACAGTGGCACACACCTGTAATCCCAGCTACTTGGGAGACTGAGGCAGGAGAATTGCTTGAACCTGGGAGGTGAAGGTTGCAGTGAGCTGAGATCATGCCGCTGCACTCCAACCTGGGTGACAGAGTGAGACTCGGGACAATCATTCTCATATACTGCCAATTATCGAATACTAGGAATCACAAAATTAAGAAATATAAAATACATCACCTAAAGGCCTTTGTAAAGTTCATCAGTTTATTTTGGAACTCACTGCCATTCCAAGTCATTTTTACAAGCATTAGGAACAAATTTGTAGGAAGTGATTTTTGAAGCAGTAGTCAAGTTACCAAGTTTAAGATAAGATAGTCCATTTTTGATAATCACCATTACAATGTGGAATATATCCTTCCCACTTTTGTTCTCTGTATTCATATATACGTGTCTGTGTACAACATATATGTATTTTTGTGATTTTTTTTTTTTTTTTTTTTTTTTTTTTTT